TTCTTTTTCATGCTTTCACTATTTTATCATCAAACCTTTAAATATTTCCAATATATTTTTCATAAAGTATCCTAAAAGAAAAGGTGTTGAAATGATCATCAAATATTAAATAACTTTTTCATAGGGGAGACAATAGGCGATTAAGTGGACATTTTTAATTTTCTTATTATTTCATGAAAATTTTCACCTGCAAATTACAAAAAAAGCGCCAATGTATCCTCCATTTCACATACTTCAAGATCACAGTCACATACTCAAAATAAAATAAGATTTATGAAGTTTTGTGGAGGGGCAGTCATATTTTCATGGGGGAGTCAGATTTTCATTATTTGCTCATTTTTAATTTTCTTATTTTTTCACATAATTTTTCACCTGCAAACTACAAAAAATGTGCCAATCTATCCTCCTTTTTACACACTACAAGATCACAGTCATATACTCAAAATAAAATAAGATTAATGAAGTTTTGTGGAGGAGGAGTCAAATTTTCATGGAGGAGTCAGATTTTCATTATGTGCACATTTTTAATTTTCTTATTTTTTCATGAAAATTTTCACTGCAAACTACAAAAAATGTGCCAATCTATCCTCCTTTTTACATACTACAAGATTACAGTCATATACCCTAAATAAAATAAGATTTATGAAGTTTTATGATGGGGGAGTCAAATTTTCATGGGGGAGTCAGATTTTCATTATGTGCTCATTTTTAATTTTCTTACTTTTTCATTAAAATTTTCACCTTCAAACTACAAAAAATGTGCCAACGTATCATCCATTTTACATACTACAAGATCACAGTCATATACTCAAATAAAATAAGATGTATGAAGTTTTGTGGAGGGGGAGTCAAATTTTCAAGGGGGGAGTCACATTTTCATTATGAAAATCTGACTGGGGAGTCACATTTTCATAATGAAAATCTGACTGGGGAGTCACATTTTCATGGGAGTCAGATTTTCATGTTACACCGGATCATATAAATAGAGAGAGCTACCAGTCGTACTGCCAAGTGGAATAATTTGTTTTAATTTATCACTCTTGCAGAGTTGAATCATTAGTACTTGTATCTCTTAATGATTGCATTCTTATTATCATGTATTTGCCGCAGTAAGCAAGTGTGAAATTTAATGACTCCAATTCTTTTTTGGTCATATATATATATATATATATATATATATATATATATATATATATATATATATATATATATTAGTCGTGTTTCAGAGTCCTAACAATACATGGATATCACCGGTAAAATAAAAGAGCTTTTGTCAACAACACAGAACTAAATAAATATTTCTAACCATAAAATGTCCTTGTAACGAAATATCTCTTTAAAATAAATTTCTCTGTCATTCATTTTCGCAAGGCGCCATGCATCTCAGCACGCTCGAGGAATGAAGTGCTTCATCTCCTTTGTTTCATCGACCTTATTGACAAAATCCCACTTACCTTTCATGGCCATCAGTGGACTCTATCGTTTGTCTTTCTTTATCCATCACGCTTACTTGATAGCAATGATGACTTTTTATACAGATGGGCGAATTGGCTTTCGCACGCAGCAATATCTTATTAGGCCGTGGGTAGGACTATTTCTCTGGGGTATATAAAAATATGAAGGGCACGGACTCACAGTGAAACATCCTGTGTAAAGCACCTGTCAGTACATGTATGTTATAAGAACAGACTGACAATTAGAATATCCAGAAGGATAACAAACATCTTGAAGCGCTGGTCTTTGACAATCATCACTACACCGCGATGTTTAACATGTGCAATTTCATTAGGTAGCGACAAATATACAATATTTATCAACGTTGTTTTAACATACAGTCACTGAGTCAGCAAGGGTTTTAGATGAGTTTATTGTCAAGCATTAGCAATATACCTCACTGTGGCTATCAAATGGAGTTATGTCCACTGCCGATGATGACACGTCTTGATCACCATACCTCATCATTAAAACACCCAGGATTATTATATAGTGTCACTTTCAATGCCATTAACTGCCGCCTGCATCAGCTTAATTCTCTTCTCTTTTTGCTGTTATTTAAATATGTCATTTTCTCATCTTAGTCAATGTGCACCCGTATGTATGAGGTCTTAAGACATATTGAAATGGGGAGTTGAATAATACTCCTTCATTGCTTGTTAATACGGGGCCACTCTGTACAAACAAGCACCCCCATATCGCTATTCGCAATTCGCGATGTTTTTGAGTTACGGACCCATGACCGTAGGTCTGCATTATTTAGTAGACGTTTTACTCACTGACCGCTAGCTTTTGCGATCAACACCACCTTTTAAATGTCCGGTGGATCGACTCCCCGTCCGTAATAGCAAGCTACTGGGCAATTTACCTTATATGAGAGTAACTATTGTTAACTCTACTTCTCTATATGTAATGTGTGCATGATATGACAAAAAATATCACCAACTGAATCCAACTGAGCATATGCCCTCATAATGTTGTCAGGTTGTGGCTGCATTATTTATAACTTAACACAATATGCATTTTAACGACTAGCCATATTATGTTTTACGTGCAGTGTCTTTACCCAAGAACAGAGAACGGGCGCCAGTATCTGCGATGAAAACCGAGGGTAACTTAAAAGATTAATGGGGTAAGTATGGGGGGGGGGGGTTCTGTAGCTTCAATTTTCTTTCTTTTTTTCATATTACACAGACTGTTCTATGGTGTCTACGTGCATTTTGCTAAAGTAATAAGTAAGGAAACTGGAGCATATTCAAAGCACTGTATAATGACGACAGATATGGTGTGTCTTGGCAGACTGTGTATTGGGTTTTGAGAAGGATGGGGTACGCTGTTGATGACCATAAGCCACCACGAGGTGACCACCGCAGAAGACCAGTGCCAGAGACGACATTTATGATGTCAAGACTTTGGGGATTTTAATAGTTGTCTCCATATAATACTGGCATATTGATAACGTGTGTCACGCTAGGGCAAACCATAGGCAAACCTGTAGTAATGTTACTGCCTTGACATAAACAGTTTTCAATAAAATACTAATTGAAAAACCTAGCAAATCCATACGTTGTTCACTTTAAGCATACAGCAAAATGATGCAATACTTTTGTCACCACCTGTACACCCGATTCTCCGACAAAATTCAAAAACCCGTTGGTAAGAATAGCAACACCTACAGGTATTGTTTAAATAAATTGTATCTAGCAACAGTAATGAAGAGAATGTTTGGAATTATTTCAGTTCAAATTTCTTGCAAAATATATTCTATTTTCATATACAAGCGCCTTGAGAAAATTACTCTGAAGTCATGGGAGCCGTACCAGGCACATCAGTCTATTCTAAGACTACGGGCCACAGCTCATGCAGTGTTAAATCACTGTGCACCGTCGCCACTAGCGTCATCATAATAGTTTCATCCATTTTCTCTTTATTCATCTTTGTGAAGTTAACAGAATTTTATGAACAAAATCGGATATCAATTTCCTACCGAAAAGCTGCAGCAAAGCATAGATTGCAGGAAAGCCAAAATATCACGTATTTGTCAAAAGGAGTTGACAAACCTCTCAACAAGCCTAAGCTGGTAATTTTCTGGGATCCAGGACCAAGGTTGGACTACATGCATCTAAGAGATTACGCCAAGCCGGTCTTTAAATCCCTTGGCTGTAAAATAGACAACTGTATCTACACTGAGGATAAGTCTTTAGCTGATGAAGCTGACGCCATTGTTTTTATAGCAAAAAGTTTGGGGGATAAACCAAGAAAATTGCCACAACATCGTTGGGTATGGGTGAACCACGAGAGCTCGTGTTATTCCAAAGAAGTTGGAGGTGTTTGGGCGGGGATGTTTAATTGGACCATCACATTTCGGAGAGACTCAACGATATTTTTCCCATATGGTTACGCCCTAAAACGATCGACCCCTCTTACTAAAAATTACACTATAACGGCGCTCAACAAAACTAAATTGGTCGCCTGGATGGTCAGCAAGTGTGTGACTCGGAGTCAACGAGAGAGATATGTCTCCGAACTTCAGAAATACATCCCTGTTGACGTGTACGGTGCGTGTGGCCCCTTAAAGTGTTCGAAGCGCGATGATAAAAACTGTTTGGACAACATTAACAGGGACTACAAGTTTTACCTGTCCTTTGAGAATAGTATCTCAACGGATTACATCACAGAGAAATTTTGGAAAATGTTGGATCGTGACATAGTGACGGTAACAAGAGGTCCGGCCAATTATTCCAGGGTTGGAATAAAACCCGAGTGGCACATCAATACGAACGATTTTAAATCTCCCAAAGATTTAGCAGACTATCTGAAATATTTGGACATGAATGTCACGGCGTATGTTAAATATTTAGAGTGGAAGAACCAGTATGTTGGACTGTATTCGAAGGCAGAGGTATACTGTGACTTATGTGCCAAATTAAACGACATCAGTGAACCGGTGACATGGTACCCGCCGGGCGAGCTGACCAGGTGGTTTATTGACGGACATTGTATTCCTCCAAATGATTTGGATTTTAACACTTAAAGCACCACGATACCAAGACAAAATTGAGAGCATCAGATAGAAGGTTAATGTATAGTTATTACACATTATTGGCGTGATTAAAACGAATGTTACATACCAACAACAGTTTTACTATCCAAATCAATAAGTATTTACCCTTATGCCCAATGGAATGAGCTACCTTATAAAATATTCACAGGGGGGTAGATTTATTTACAGGCACTTAGAATTACAATGTACACGTCGAATCAACTAACCCCAGAGATACATGTACATGCAATGCATTATTAATATGTTAATAATTCATACTGCTCTTATCAGCATACTATTGCGGAAAATATGTCATTTAAGGTCACTTATGTTGCGGATGACAACGAAGGCCCGAGTCCCAAGAAAATCCGTATCCTCAATTCATCGCTTCTTTGATGGTGATCTATTTTTAAGAACATTTTCAGTAAAACAAGCTGGATATACAGGTTTCTGACATAAACTGTTAAAATCCATTCATTAGACTGATAGAACAACTTCGTGCAAACATAAAAAATGCTGTTAAACTTAATTTTACACTAGCTGATTCTAAAACAAATATGTTTTTAGCAACGTCAATATTTTTAGATACGGTTTTCGGAATCTACTGTGCTCACCTACATTTTCTTGGATTTTTGATAGCAACAAGAAATAAGAAAACGCATATTTCACAACATTTGGACATATTAAAGTGTTTTTCTTTATCCTAAAACAAATATATTCATATAATAGCATAATATATAATATGCCAATGATTCTGCATTGTCGAGACTTACGATATTAGCTATGGTTCAACATGTTAACAACAAACTGTGATATAATATCCCTTGATACAGAATGAAAGCAGTTGGTGTTGATGCATAAAAGTGTGTCTAATTCTGCCCAAAGTGTAACATTTACTGTTCCATATCGGTGCTGCTGGTAGAAGCGGCGGTCTTATTATATAGGGTAGGTTTATCATACGTGATGCACACGGGTGGTGTTACTGCTTTGATCACACTAGACCGAAAAATATTAACACGCAAGTGACGTCAAATCACTTAAACCTTTTGAATGGTGCAATTTTGACATCAATTATGCCAAAGACAGAGTTCATTATTTCATCTAAACACGAATGATGATCACTTGTTCAATGTTTCACAAACAGATTCAGTTTCACTGCTTAAGACATAATTTCTAAGGAACAGTCTCATATTCGTGGCGTATGCAACATTGCACTTTAATTACTTGTATGTAAGCCTCATATGGTATCTCTGTACCTTAAACAAGATGTGGGGACCTGATTCGCTCATGGTATATTTGTGAAAATTTTTATTAAGATTGGAGTCAAAATTACAGACAAATTAAACGGTGGAGGCATATGTAGGCACAAAAGTCTGTTTTTAAAATATTATTAAAGTGGGGCCGCTTTCCGGCCATACTTGAGAAGACGTAGGCTTAGCGGGCAATGTACCCGGTAACCAGATGATTTATGAGACAAGTGACAGGACATTAATTTTCAACTCTCCATGGTCCAAGTATAATACCTCAGGGTTTCCGACAGATGTAGTTGGTCCTTGCAGTAAAGAACATTTCTCCAGGGTTTAACATCAGGACAGAGAGTTTTACACTTGGATACAGTAAGTGCTCCTTTTTTTTAATCGAATGAGAATAAGCTGAATTTTCTTTTTCTCTAAGATAATTGAACCATCTGTTGTATGCTACTGGACATCCAAAATGATCATTCAGTGACGTACAGTCAAGTTGCTTTCTTTTTAGATTAGACATTAATTGATTCATCTATTCAATGTTAAAATATATCCTCACCGTCCTGAAAACCACTTGGTCGTTCCATGGTGTGCAGTAATGTCACATAAATCAGCTAACGTCATAAGCATTTACATAACATCCTCTGTCCAAAGACTCTTATACAAGATTATGTCAAATCATTCAGAATTTATCATATTAAATATACAATATACAATACAGATAGACACAAACGCGTGTTGTTTTTAAACTTCTATCATTCAATGACCCCGGAACACTTTATGGTACATTTATTGACTTTCATACATTGGCTTTCATATATCTAGTTTAGACACAACATGGGACGATTTGCCTCGCTGTTAATTCTGCTGGCTACCATTGCGAGTCCCTGCTGCTTTGAGAAACACATATACCAGGAAACAATGATGGTGGGAAGTCCACCACACAGTCAGCGAAAGTATGGAAAGATACAGAGGACACCTGCAGATAGAAATGGAGGTAAGATTTAAAGGTTTATTATATTGACTTATCTTTGTGGCCTAACATGCCCACAGTTCTTTACGTTTGTTATCACTTTACCAACCTGAGTGTGAGAGTTGGAAACGGTCCATGCGACACCCGACACGTGCTAAACATTATAAATTGTTCTTTAGTTGACTGTAGTAATTGTATAGACACGATCTAATTGCAAGTTAAGTTTTTTTATCACAATTGTCTCTCTTTTAATTATCCGATGTTCTTCGAAAAGTATATTTCCTTTAATTACTTCATCTGTTCTGTATTCATTTTTCTTTAAATATCACATATTTGCTTTCCTTAGCTGAAGTCATTCGATACGTCGGTGGTGCTGGAATACCGGATTCATACATAGTAAAATTAAAGACCGGCCTCTCACGTGGGAAGGGTAAGATGGTTTACTATTAATATAAGGAATAAGTTAACTGTTGTAAAGATTATGAAACCAAAACTTAACATATAGAGAGTGGGAACTACTGCATCTCGGTCCTTACAGGTACATGATTTGATATTAACAAACGGTGAATTAATTAAATACAACTACATTAACTATACGCATAGGCAAAATATATACATATTCTTACCACATATTTTTCTCTTTTCTTTCGTTTCTATAAAGAAATTTACTTGACTATTTAAGACTGCACTCATTTTTTAAACTGCATATGCAAAGCTTCTTTAACATAAATGTACATTAAAGGTGGCTTTGGTTACACTTCAAAATACATATGTATAATGCAGCGTTCAAATATTGTGTAACTGTTTCAGCCTTTTATATTTTATCCTTAATAGCATTAGATTTTACCAACACTTTGAAAGCTGAAATGACCACCACGACCTTTGGCAACACTAGACGTGGTCGGGGCCCGCATGTCGGAAAACTTCATGAAGTAGGGGAAATAAAGTTCCTTACAATCGAGACAACCGATAAGTAAGTATTTTGAATAAGTGAATTCATCAAAAAAATGTTTCAAAGCTGATCAGGGTTGGCGTAATCTATATGCATATATTTTATGTACACAGCAATAAGATATAGGCGTTCGTTGCTTACCTTTTTTTTCCTCACAAACAAACACGGATTTTGTTTCTTAAATTCAAACAGTAATATGTTACTTAAAACTTAAGAAGTTCATAATTAATGTTAAAATAGGGATGCTAGCTAACTAAATAGGTAAAGCTTAGCCGTTAGGATACTGTTGGGCATATTTTAAATACTGGAAAACTTAATGTGATAATAAGGTATTAGGAAAATATAGGCCAGGTTCCTGTGAGAAACCTATGAATGACTATTTGTTGAATATCTTCAGGGGCCTTGCACGACTTCGTAGACAGACAGATGTTGTTGACGTCATTTACCAGGATACCTATGTGTATGCCAACGGCTGCGCATGCCTGGTTGACTGTCAGAATAAAACAGAGGATCTCGGCGACAAACAGTGTTGGTCTTATGATACCAGTGTTTGGGTATGTGTACCTGTGATCTTGATGTAGTCTTTGCATCATGTCTCCCTTCTACCTCCCCAACTAATTTCCATTGCATAGCTCTCTCTCTCTCTCTCTCTCTCTCTCTCTCTCTCTTTGTGCATATTATGTACGGAAGAAAAGAAACAAAGTTGAATATTTTTCTGTATCTTCTCGTTGTATGACTCTGCACAAACGAACCGCAGGTTAATCGCAGACATGGTAAATGAATTTTCAATGGGGCGTCATGCTTCAGTATACGCCTATCTTGCGCCTTTTCATTTATCTTCATATTTGGTCCTTTTTCAATTTGATCATATTATTTCCTTACACAGGGTCTTGACAGAATCGACCAGACAACGCGACTGCCTAACGGCAAGTTCAACGTGAAGGGTACAGGAAGTGACGTCGATGTGTATATATTTGACTCTGGGGTTTATGCCGAGCACCAGCAATTTTTACGTAAGGACAACAGCAGTCGGGTGACATTTGGAAATAAAGCAGACGCCAGTTGGTCAGATACAGACATCAATGGTCACGGGACGCACGTTGCTGGGACTGTTGGAGGCATTACCACGGGAGTTGCCAAGAATGTTAAGTTGATCAATGTGAAGGTATTGAACGACGAAGGTAGCGGTTATACCAGCGGAATTATGGCAATGTTAGAGTGGGTCCGTGATCAAGTGGACGTGACAAAACGAAAGTCCATCATCAATATGTCCTTAGGGGGACCGCAGCAAGACCTTTTCGATGATCTAGTCAACACGCTGGTGACCGAGGCTGGAATTATAGTCGTTGTCGCCGCGGGGAATGATAACTCACTTTCATCGTTCACGTCACCCGCCAATGCCGAGGAAGCCATAACAGTCGGGGCAACGTGGGACAATGACGACAGGGCCTATTTCTCCAACTATGGGCCCAGGGTGGACATATGGGCCCCCGGACAGTTCATCCTGAGTGCCTACGTAGGTAGCCCAGATAGCTCAGCTATATCCAGCGGTACGTCTATGGCTTGCCCCATGGTGGCCGGTGCCGCCGCTGCCTACATGAGTACTCTGGACCACAAACCATCGCCAGCAGAGGTAAGACAACACCTCGTTGCCACCTCCATGGATAACGTTGTCACTAACATCCCTGAGAAATATTGTTACAAGGTGACAATCTCCAGAGAAGAAGGTTGTTATTGGTGGATGGGAACATGTGAACGGGAGATTTGCCTGCCCGGTTCCTCTGTAACCAGACTTTTGAACGTTGGATGTGACCCCTCACAAAGCAGTACAGTTGTTATTTAGCTTGAGACGCTTTAATTTAATTATTTGTCATTTTGCCGATGTGACAAAGGACGCAATCTTCACTGTTACTTTAAGGATATTAATTGTCACCCTTCGACAAAAAATCCTTATTTACTGACTTACATGCATTCTTTTGGGTAATTAACAAATCTTCATTGTTCAGTGAGTGCCTTAATTAACATTTACACATATGCCATGTTACGGATGACGTCATTATAGCGATTTAGGGTAACGATAAATCGGCTTCTCAAATTTCTCTTTCACCTGAGCACACACGTTTACTGTTTTACTGTTTCAGCGCCGATTTAATGACATCATTTGGTACTCCAAAAGCCTGCCAGCGATTTTCTTATAAGTCTAAGCAAGATTTAGTGGTTGATAAAGCAAAATGATGCCTTTGTTTAAAGAAAATCTGTAATCATAACTTCGTAACAGAAACATTTAAACCAATTCGACGGCACAGCATTTTATGTTATACTCTCCTGGACAACTCTGCCAATTTTCGTGATAAAATCATGTTCAGGGATGAAGTGACGTCCCATATCGATTGCTATCTCCCCTCAAAATAGAAAGGTGTTAAAATGACGCTTGAGTTGCCTATTGCAACGAAAAAATATAAACGCCGATATTTTATATTTTGAGGGCTTTTTCATTATTTTAAACGAGCAGAAAGATAGATGCGTTATTAACTAATTTGATGCAGGAAAAAAATCATTTTCGGTATTTGGATGATAATAAATGATTGCAATAACCTATAAGGCAGACAAACTTGTTAGAAATTCTATAAAACACTGTTCGATGATACATTAATGTCAATTAAGTCCTACAAACATTCAATATTTTTAATAAATTTGATTTGATTTCAGCAGCATCTTGATAGACAATTTTAATTAAAATTTTAACGCCTGAAGTGCGCACTTTTGGTTCCCCTTTTTTGGTCCATTCTGAAATGCAATAATATCACGAAGTTTCTATCTGCGTACACGAAATATATCATAATTAACAATGATTATAACGTTATGTTCGAAATGCCATCAGTGTAATTGCATAGTAACGCTTATATCCATGAACAATAAAGCCGTAGGGCTATAAAATGGATAACAACTACTGATTTTGGTGGGAGAACGGATTTTCATGTGAAAAACCTACTTTCTGAATCTGTTCCGACATTCTAAGTTACTCAAATGTTATTTTTATTTGTTTACTTAATATGTTTTTTTTTTTCATAACCTTTTAAAATATTTTTAAAGAGGGTAGCCATCTATGAAGGTCCACGTGGTCCAAGCACGAAATTCAGAATAATTACAGAATGTTTTTCTGTATCTTCTATTAGTATTCGGCACCAGCCGCAAGCTATTCGCAGAATTGGTAAAGGTACTGTCAGTGGGGTGTCATGGTTTCAGCTTCAGCATACCTTCCCATGGGTAGGCTCAGAAACTTGACGGTGCAAGGGCAAGGATGAGTGATAGCCCAGAGTAACACAAACATAAGGTAGTAAACTTTTATCCTCACTCAGAATATGGTATCAGGACAATTCCCCCCCCCAGACAATTCCCCCCCGGACTATTCCCCCCGGACAATCCCCCCAGACAATTCCCCCCTGGGCAATTCCCCGCCGGACGATTCCCCCTCCCCGAAGAATATATATATTTATTTACAAACATAAAGTAAAGAGTACAAAGTTAAAATCTTTTCATCCATTTTCTGAATATTTCTTAGTGTGATGATGCAAATCAAGGATAGATAATTTTATTAAACAAAATATTTATAAAATACCTGTTTACCTGTTCATCTGTTTACCCCACCTTTACCTGAAGGATATAGGTGGTTATACTTCGATTACATATTTAATAAATATTCCTGTACTTGTACTCAATGAAAAGGGAATTTGTTATACAATAATTTGTTTCGTGATAAAGTTGTCTTATGACACTAAACATATAAATAAAACGGTTGAAATGTTTTAAACTTTACACTTTCTACTTTATATTTGTATATAAATATATATTTCTTGGGGGAAATCGTCCGGGGGTGGGGGGGATTGTCCTAGAATCACTTAGAATATCTGGTGAAATCTGCATGCAAGCTTCGTGACACAGACCCGTTCTGTAGCTTCATGAAGAGGACATTTCTGTCTCTTTTCTTATGTAATAAAACTTATAAGGTACTTGGCGCACCGGTCGGTGATTCTGTGATTGAGCTTTCACGCGCGATATCAGTACCGTTGACACTTAAGCTGGCCGATAGCATCTGTCTGCACCCTTCGTAGCTGAAAGATGAACACAGATTGCATATTTGCCTTAATCTATTTATTTAATAGAGGATGTACTCTCCGTTACACGGACCTTGAGTTTCGCCACATCGGCGGCACTGATGGAAAAGGAAAGCTGATTACTGACCGCAACTGCACACCACACGCAGCACTACCTTCTGCCGCGAAATTTAGCCGGTCATTGACATTTCACGTTGTCCTGCCCAAACACCAAATAAATTCGACAGCATCTACATTGTCAGGGGCGGATCCAGAGCTATTTTCTGACATTCTTCCAAATTAGCTTTGTTGATCCATCCTCCATTTTTGACGGTCTTCCGACAGAAAAAAAAATAGATAACTGTCAGAGTAAACTTGACAATCTGACCGTCTTCCGGAAGACTCAGAGGACTGCCTCATTTCGCCCCTGATTGTATATTCGCCTTAACGCCTCCGTTGCTGAAAGATAAGCACCGATAAAAGATCTGACGGAAAACAAATTAGTCTAGCCGCATTACCGCTTCGAAGAATATGTACTACCTGAACGACAATCAATTCAGCGGATACTTATTGTCCGGCCAGGCACGAAGTGGTTATTCTGACATCGCAGAAAAACGGCAAGTCATTTTTTTCTCGTGCTATAGCATGTGTCTATGTGAGAGTTAGATGTAACGTTTTATTAAATATAAGTTTTATTAAATATATTACTTAAAGGCGTGTTATGACATAATGGATCTTCTTTCTAAATTTATGAATGCTATATAGCGATCAAACAGCAGTGCAGCTACACGAATATACTAAGTATCGCTTTCATCTCATACGCTTACCTGTAACTTCAATAACGTTTTCTAAACATTTTAGCCTCTTTCAAGGATGACGCTTGGGACTGTAGCGAGGATTTCTATCCTCCTTCCCCTCTATATCCTGATTTATGCAGTCATTGCTGAGCCTTATGTAGAAGGCGATCGAAGAATATTCCCCGCAGATGCTACTAACGGTAAGTAACGTACTTTTCGAGCTCGTCGTTGGCGATTCCTTTTCTTTCGTGGATATAAATAAATATATCTTCTATTTAGCTCTCACGGCAACCACTATTTAGAATTTGGAGAAGACGCGAGACATTTGATCCTTTAGCAATCGAGATTATTGCCGTACATCTGAATAAGAAAAATCATTTGGTGATATGTAACACCGGGTGTTGTTTGCAAACATACTAATAGTCGAATAGTGGAATTGAAATGGACCACAACCTAACCTTTGTTTTCTGTTCTAGTTGAACTCCACACCTACACTGGGGACAGTGGAGTACCAGACACTTACATTGTCAAACTAAAGCAGGGAGTGGACCCACAAACCAGTGCGTGCTTCCGCTTTTATTTTTAATGCATTATTATTATTATTATTATTATTATTATTATTATTAGTATTATTATTAGTTCATATCATCCAAGTGATAGGGCCTATGTCGACGTTGACACTGTTTTTCGAAATTACACGCTGGATCGATGGTCTTGTTAGCCTACCCGTACACTATAGTGACCTTCTGTTCAGCATTTCAAATCGTTACCTTACCGTTACTTTGACGTTAACCTTACGCTTTTTTTTTTTTTTTTTTTTTTTGGGGGGGGGGTTCTTTGGTTATATTAGCCCCAGCAAACAGATCGCGTTGGTACCACGTGGCTATAATCTGTGGCTATGACGTTATAATGTGGTAGCAACGCTCTAGCCACGTGATCCCAACGTTGGCTGGGACGTTATGATACATGTGATGGTTATGTTCTCTGTTTACTGGGTATAGCCTCATGCAAATGAGATGGGAGAATACTATAAGTTTCCATTACGTAAACTTGTCTACATTTATCAATCCCTGTTTGCACTTAAAGATAGGCTGAAATAATTGTTGCTGCAAGCTGTTGTCGAAGGCTGCATATTGTCTTTTTGCAAATTGTTGCTGTTACTGGAATTGACAGTGTGGTTAAAAATGCAGTAAATATTTGAAGATTCACAACTGCATGTATGTATTTCATATTCAATTCTTTGTTCCTTTTTCAGCATCAACATTTGTGGAAAATTTGAAGTCCGAGCCATATTCTGTCACAAATGGACGTAGCTCTGCCTTTGAAAATGACCCCTCGGTCGGGGTGATGATGGACTTCGGGGACACGAAGATGGTTGTAGTCGAAACACAAGAGGAGTGAGTATAGTTTTAATATGTCTGACCTATTTTTCCCTTTATTTCTGGAATATCCATTCACAGTGTTAATGTCATTGTTGATCTTTCTTTATACATATATTTACACATATTACACATGACCGTTTCAGCTGGTGACGACACCGATGTGCAATTGGTTACTTTAAATGCATTTTCTCTCTAAGATACCGTTAAAACAGATTGACAATTGGATTTACCTGTTTAATAAATTTTAACCAACATCTCCAAAGGATGATCGGTGTTAACAGTCGAGATAATGAAAATGGTAAAGTAAGGGTATATGTTATAAGGCAAATTCTCCAATTCACTTTCCGTTGACTACCGTGCCTTTCAACGAAAGCCCTTGGGTAACATTTTCTTATTGTGCAAATTACTGCACGTCCATCGTTATATATCTACAGGGGTCTCCGTCTACTGCGGGGGAGGGTGGACGTGGTGGAAGCCATTTACCAGGACAGTATAGTGACCACGGCACAGGCACCAGTATGCTACGTCCCGTGTGAGTGTCCGGCGGCTGAGGAACCTGTGGATAACAACGTATGCCCACCGAAGACGGCTGCAACAGATTGGGTGTGTATGGCTTTTCAGATTTTTCGCCAACAAGCACAGGTCTACATGAATAACTGATGTATTGTAGTCATGGGGTCTTGTAAGTCAGAAAGATGGTGATGGGGCCTTATATGCCGCTATTATATAGATCTATTATGTCTGGAGATAATATATTGCTTTCTTGCACTGCTGTTTCCTTGAGAAGTAGGGGGAATTATAGCGTCACCGGTAAGTTTTGATATATAATCTTTGTTAAGAATTAAAGATAGGTTAAATAACAACAAGATTAATTTTTACTCTTTACTTTTTTCACAAATAGGGCCTTGACAGGATTAATCAACCGAATGGTCAACTGGACGGCAAATTCAATGTCATGGGTACCGGAAGTGACGTCAACGTCTATATTTTTGATTCAGGGATTTACGCGGAACATCAAGAATTTTCAAACAGCGACGGCTCCACACGTGTTTCTGAGGGTTTCAAAGCCTTGGACAGCTGGAACTTTACCGACATCTATGGACACGGCACCCACGTGGCCGGGATAATTGGCGGGAAAACAGTGGGCGTGGCAAAAAACGTCAATCTTATCAACGTGAAAATACTAAATGATGCTGGATCTGGGCAAGTCAGTTGGGCCATATGGGCTATGTACGAAGCAGCGTTTCCGATACTCGCCTCTGGTCAGAAGTCTATTATGGTGCTGGCATTGCAGTCCAGTCGCAACGATGCTTTTAATGATGTGATACAGACATTTACTAATTATGGTGTGACAATAATAACGGGGTCTGGCAACAATAATGGCCTGTCATTTTACCAATCCCCCGGTAGTTCCGAAGCCGCCATCACTGTTGGTGCATCAGCCGCAGGAGACACCAAGGCCATCTATTCCAACTATGGGCCCGAGGTAGACATTTGGGCTCCGGGCACGGACATACTCAGTAGCGCAACCGGCTCCCCGGACGCCTACGACCAAGGTAGCGGTACATCAGTTGCTGCCGCTTTTGTTGCCGGCGCGGCCGCCGCCTACATGAGCTCGCTCGATTACCGACCTGCACCAGCAGAAGTGGCGGCCTATCTCATTCAGCAGGCTACAGACAACGTGATCACTGACAGCCCGACTCAACATAACTGTCGATGGGAAGCGACATGTTACGGAGCACATTTCTGGAGTTGCAGAATTCAGTGGGTATGTGATAGCATTTCCACAACAACCAGATTTCTTCACGTCGGGTGTAACTCTGATGCGACAGTTAAAAAGTAGCTTATTGCTTTTATTTTTGATTTTCTGGTTAATTATATTATACGAAGGACTACAACGTTTGGGATAAACTGTTAAGAAAATAACTACCGATACGAAATAAACATCTACCAGAAATTACAAACATTGGAGAGCCATTCAAATTAAATTATTAAATATCATATTGGGTCTATAATAAGTCAAACTGTCTGACCAGAGGAACATAACTTATTGTGAAATTATATTTTTAAAGCCTTCTCTTATTTTTCCATATAAATATTCTGCAGTTTATTATCTTGTTTATTCTCATCTGAAACTTGTATGGAATCGCATACGATGAATAAATATTGTCTTTGGAATGGAAAGTACTTGTCAAACCTTACAAAAACTTAATGAAAACCCGTTCAACTTGCGCTGATTCAAATCAATTAAATCTGTTACCACACCTTCTTAGTAATTATCAAATAAGTTGAAGAGATTAAAACCATGTGACCTGCAAAATGTCCACTGGTCTCCTCACTTATCTTTATATATTTATACATGCAGCAATAAAAAATTGACAGACAAGAAAAAGCAAACAAAAAACCTACACTGGAGATCCATTTCATATTATTTCTTCTTTCTGTTGAAAGTCCCTGTGTTTGTGTGCGTTCGCTGTTCTTAATTATGTACGTAACAGATAAAAATAACTTTCAAAATGCTGGTAACACAACACATTTCATTTCTTGTACGTAAAAATCACCCATGCCGAGACATACATGCAACGATTGCGAATACAAAACAAGACCGCGATTGAATGAGTCCAGTCTGAATTTGTGAAAACTGTTTGGAACTCCATTCATTAGACTGTGATATGTATGCAGTAATGGTCATCAGCTCTTGATGCTGAAGACAAGACCGATGTATCATCCTCACGGTGTGTGATGTATAAAGTCAAGTCACAGCACCGGGTATCCTTCATGCACCGTGGTGTAAAACGACCTAGACCTTTCAATCACCCCTGTCACAGGGATACACTGCAGCCCCCGCTGACCAATACTAGGGTACTAATATATATATATATATATATATATATATATATATATATATATGGCCACTGTTGGAGTCGCGAAAGAATCAAAATCAGGATCCGATTTCCAAATCCATGTCTTTTCCTTATCACTGCGCCTCGTGAATTACAGGGGAACATACATGTATAAATGTCCATTAAATTACCTAGTCATGCTTTGTTTAGACGTATTCATGCTGGTTCACTCCACATGAATTTATGCCTTTTAACTGTTTGTATAGTTCTGCTTATATTTCTGGGTACAGGGCAGCTGCATAGTTAAAATATTAAAACCAATGGAAGCTTTCTCGTAGGACTTTTGCCATTACCCATCGCTGTGATCTCTCACAAATGATATTGGCCAGTCTATTTAATTGCATGAATACAGGGTCAATGCAGCCCCACATCTACCTGAATGGTGGACATAGCTACATATAAAATCAGCGATCTTTTGTGACATATTAAATAATAGCATGGTACTGGGTAAACTTCAACGTGCAGCGGTGTAGAACGACAGAAACCTTCATGTGATATTGATGTCACCAATCCCGCCAATATACCGGCTTACACCTTGGTGCTCTATACAGCCAACGTATTTTAGAAGGGAAAGGTAAGTTTAGATTACTGTAGTGTCCGCTTGTATGTCTCATATCCTCGTACGTATTACAGGGGCGGATCCAGGATTATTTGAAGGGAAGGGGGCGGAGAGACAGACCTCGGACGCAAAGTCGGCCATCTTTCCCTTTGTGTGAGGCTCGGGGCCCCTGTAGAGCAAACAGTGGCCTTTGGTACGGTTTACAACTATGATTTAGCTTGTCAAAATTCTAATTTCAAGAGGGTATATTGGTGATACGGTACATATATTTTTCAGAAACTGAAGGGGGGGGGGTCAGGACCCCCCTGACCCCCTCTAAATCTGTTTTACATTTATTATAAATTGAATAAATAATATTACATACCGATTTTCGTCTTTAAAAAATTAGTCTACAAAGAGTTTACAAATGATCGGCAATCTGTAAGTAGGAAAATACTTTGAGAAGTGTGTTTCGTGACGCCAATGCATACTACTTTAATACACGCTGCCCGCCCAATATATTGATGGAACGGATGCATATGTTAGCAGAAATGTCATATTATTTGATTTCAGGATTTTTTTCAAAATGTCCACAACACGCCAGGCGGAGGTATGGGCTAAGATTGACGGTGCAAACTCTGCGACCAATACTGTAGAAGAAAACTTGGACCTCTACAGCCAGTGGGCACCAAGCTATGACCTAGATGTTACAGTGAGACATCTTTGATTATAAAATTTAGCAATTTTTTTTACAATTTTACACCCTTACTTTTATATATTTCAAATCACACACATACTCCCACACACACACACACACACACACACACACACACATGACTACATGTAGGCCTATAGATAAATAGATAGATATACCTCTTGTAAAAATACATTTACTTAAACATTATTTTTGCTGTATTTTTCCATATTTGCTCCTTATCGTGATCGAATTGAACATAAAATTGACTTTTGTAGGAAATGCGACCCAAAGGGCCAGCCATTGTTGCAAAAGTGCTGGAATTAATTTTTGGAGAAAACAAAGATGCTTTGATATTGGACGCAGGAGCGGGCACCGGATGGGTCGGGAAAGCGGTGTGTCTTGTCCTTTCTTATCTCTCAACTTACCCAGTACCGTAGCTTCAAAATAATTATTGTTTTGATGGGAATTTTCATCGATTGCTTCTTAGTTGATTCGTGTCTATCGTAACTTTGGCGATATCTTTCACACGTTGGTTTGCACGGATATAGCAATCAAGGTTTAGCACCCAGTGTTTCCTTACGTCTCCAGTAACCAAACAATGGTAAATACACATATGTATATAAGTATAGCAGGGGATACGTGTCGCGATAAAACAGTTATCTGGCAAAATCAGTGATGTTTATTTTTGCTTGCTATCCTTCAGTTCTTTTTGTGGTAAAAACTTGTTACGTCCAGCTCGATTCATGTGATCAGTTCTAAATGGTATTAGAAATTATGGCAATTGATTTAATACTAAAAAGGTGCATAAAAATGTTCAACCCAGATTTGTTGATTTTTATCATCAGATTCAAAAACGTGGGTTCACAAACCTGGAGGCTCTGGACGGAAGTCAGGAGATGTTGAACATAGCCAATCAGAAAGGGATTTACAAGAGGAGTATTTGTGGTTTGTTAGGGCCGAATAGATTGGATATCGAATCAGGTATACTGACTCAACACAATGTGCAAGCTAACCTTATGATCTTAATATAGAAATGGCACATATAGTATACATTGAATATGATCAGAATCACACGGTCTGGAGAGATGGGATGTGCCCTCGTAAATTGTAAATAGGTGGCATAAATAAAATGTGTGAAATGATAACAAAGACATACACTGTACTTCCAGTGACATATAACTAAATGAACAGTGTTTTGGTACAATCGTAACATCATTGATACTTTATCTTGCTATCTTTTGGATGGGAGGTTTAAGTGCATGTTTTGTTCAGTATTGTTCTACTTTAAATAGATTTATTGATCAAGATTATAAATTGCCTTTGTTAGAAAATGAAACTGAACTTTTTAGCCCATGATTGCAGGTTATTATGACTGCGTGGTATCTGTTGGCTGTTTGGCGGCGAACAACGTCGATGCCAGCTGCCTTCCAGAACTGATTAGAATCACGAAGTCAGGTACGTTCATTCATGGTAATAAGAAGTGGTAATTAATGGGAGGCATCCGAAATAAGCAAACATGTTCGAGGCACCGCACTCTGCATGACGTCACACAAAACTAGAGAAAGTACAAACATACGCAACATTTGTTTTAATTATCATTTTTTTTATTCTTAGAGAGTTTAAAAGTGACATCCTAAACATTGAATTTGCATCGTTTTGCTACACAATTAAATCCAATAGAACTCTGGACAATACAACCCAAAAAAATCTACGGACAACCTTATAGATATGTCTGGTTTTAATCGTTGACGCATCTCATTTCCCAGTCTGCTATTACGTCTGACCCTACTCTCCTCTAATCCCGCGAAATCTCGCCTCATTTAACAAGAAGTCCCTAGGCATTGGGGTCTTTCTAATAATTCCCATTAACAATATTAACTGCAGTCCACGAAGGGAATTACGTTTCATCTACTTTCTTTACAGGCGGGTATGTTGTCATGGCGACTAGAGAGGAACATATTCCAGACTGTGGGTATGACGGCAAGAGCTGGAACGACTGGCTGAAGATTCACGAAGACAACGGGCTTTGGAAGATAGTGGAAATACGAAAGGAAGAGAAATATGTGGCCGATGTTGCTACGGGCATCATTTATATATACCAGGTCTTATAGAACTACATGTACCAGTCAAACTGTCCCATGTGATATTCCGTATATATCTCTTGCGGGCTTAATATATGATAATGTGATAAATCTCATTCTTAATAATGGTATATATATATATATGCGACGTAAATCAACTCCTATATTGCGTCAAGATAATCCATAGTGCGTTGGGTAGCTTCCTAAAACAAATGTATCTTTGTTTTTTTTTTTTTTTTTTTTTTTTTGAGTTTCCCCACCTAGACCCCATTCCCATACCTAGACGGATCTAGCTGGACCGCCCATCCCCGAGGGGATTCTTGCTAAATTGCGTTTAGATTAAGCCCCTGTCTGACACGCCAGCTGAAGCTGCTAATCAATAGGTAATTACTCCTTAACAACTTCAGTAGGCGTGGCAGACCTCAGAGTTGAATGTAATTGAATGCAAGTTATCGAGATGGGTCGATCCTGCTAGATCGATCTAGGTATGGTAATGGGGTCTAGGTGGGGAAACTCTTGATATATTAGTGCCTAGTGTTAGACATACATGTAGTGCTTATTGCATGGATATATTTGCTTTAGTACTACTAGAAAAAAATTAAGTATTCCAACAAATGTTGTTTTCAATAAGATCAAACTTATAAGTAAAAGCTGTCAACAACTCATTGGTCTTTTGTCATATTCGAACTTCAGGTGACGGTATACATTGTAATCGTAAAACACTTTCGACATTTTACTTGCTTCTAGGTGTTTATTGCACACTGGGGAACTTTCGCCAATTCAGAAAAACACAACCTTGTCCGTAGTATCACGGATGGATGAGGGCCGTCGTAGTTAAGAAATGTTCATGTTATGTTCAGAAAGAAAATGACAGAGAGAAAAACCTGTGCGCGTAGCTGCCAATATGCCGTCGTATCTGCCGTATGACGTCGTGTATCCTTCTCGGTACTCGCTAAACCAATAAGTTTCAATCCACTCATTTTGGTTTGATATATATGTCACGTGACTGCACACCGGCTTGTCCTCCCCATTGCATTAAAAAAATGAAGAAAAGTATACGGTGTGATTCGAACTCAAAATGTTGAATTTTACAACGGGAACCTTTTGTTCCTGTCGCTGTATTACGTAAGACCTCTGAGCTTACGTCTGTTATAGGAATTTAAATATTGTTCAGCGCCTTTCAAATGTGATAAGATCCCCTCTTATATATAAAATGGGTGTGATGTACATATATAATACATTTATTTTGGACGTTGAACATTAGTGCTATCGTAGCATCAGTATTCTGGTGGTCTATTTAATACAAGAATGGGTGTTCTATTCCTAATTATATAATGAGACGATATTATACGTTTCGTCTTTTTTTTTTTGGGGGGGGGGAGTGGTTTAATCGACGCTTAAAATAGGGCGTGCAGTGCCGTCCACTATTTATAGCCTGCATTGCGTCATCGCCCATGATACGCGATGTTGCATAGAGGCTACAGTGTATTATATGGGGCGAGTATGAGCGAGTTATGGAATCGAGACGCTTGCGCTCGGTCGCAATGCTCGATGCTTTCGAGATACGGGGCCCTGGTGTCTTCTGCTCGTGGTCGGTGAGGTCACACCTACTACATGTTAACACGGCTGTAACGTCGATTCTTCCTGTAAAAACTTGTTATTTATCGTATGGATTTATGGGGTTAACTGATTCTCGTCCTCTCTGAACGACTATGGAATCTGCTGAGGGCCTTGTTCTGCGGCTAGACAGAAACTTAGGTAAAAATTATATGGTATTATATGTGAATCTTATTGGAATACATTATCGGACCCTCTTTCTTTACAATATTGTGTTGGTATCGTGTTATACGCGCTGTCTTAAGTTTTTTAACTTAAAATTCCAAACCTAAAAACAGCATTTAAAGCAAAACAAATACAAACTGCACGAAGGAAAAATTGTAGGCAAATTTTATTCAACCAAATTAATAAGCACTCTGTTGACAAATATTAGATTAATAGCAATAGTCTTTGTAGGAATACTGAATAGTTAACTAACATTGCACACAACTTTGGAAAAGTAAGTATAGCAAAATATTGACACTTTTGAATAGTATCAGAGCCACATGCAATTAAAAAAGAAAAAAAAAACAATAACGATCAAACTGCTTTTTTTAATTTGTCACTTTCGAGAGCCAAAAATAGAATCCGCAGGATCGGCCTTTAAGCCATACCATGCATGCTGGAATCCGTTTAAGAATTCCTCACCATCAATATAACCATTACAATTCTGGTCAATATCTTCGAAGATGTTTTGAACTGGGGCTGTGTTGCGAAGGATGATAAGAAATTTGGAATACTCGTCTACTGTCAGCTTGTCATCGCAGTCGAGGTCAACTGTGTGAAACCAGTTCTGGGAGGCTTGGACAAGTGCCTCATTTGTATTACAGACTTCCTTCTCGAAAGCTGGGAGCAGTTCCTTAAATGTTATGGACGTCTTGTAGTTAGTGTTTTCGTTCGACCACCATGTTTGATATACTTTGGATAAAATACCATGTACCGCCTTAGCTCTCCAAGATACCAGAACTTGTTCAGCTCGCTTTGTTGTTAAATCAATAAATTCCTCTTTAGTGACCAAACCATCTTCGTCAACATCAAATATATCAAATAATGCCTTTTGCTTAGAAATCCAGTGGCCAGTAAAATTTCTCTTGCGGTCCTGTAAAAATTCGAATGAAAATCATATGTACAAAATAGGTTTATAAATTTGTTTCACGAAATTTCGCTATTGAAATGTATATGTTTGGGGAAATATAGAAGAATGTTAAAGATTTTCTTTCCCCGGGGTCACATTGTACTCAGCACTGAATGTAAGCTATTTCAGAATAAGTAAGTCGTAATTTCTTATATAATTGCATATTCCTTGACCCATTAGATTAGTCACTGCTGTTCACTTCTTACATGCCCAGAACTACACGTGCTTATCTTGAATACATAGGTGTTTCGTCTGTTTTGAGTAAAGAATCTCGAAAAATATATTTATTTTTTATTTTTTTATTTTTTCATTTTGGAGGGACGTAAGAGGCCTAAAAAGCATGAATTCATAGGTGCTTGTGCTGAAAATTAGAGAGAGAATAACGTCGCCTCACCACCTCGCATATTACAATAAATTCCACATAGATTAAAATCCCAGATAGAGATCATGACTAAAATTGTTAAGTTCGAAGATAAAACATATAACATCGTAACTGTGGATTTTCAAAGATACATTTCTGAGGATACAATATTCATTTATTTTAACTAGACATTTTTGATGTTCCTTCTAAAACTGTCCTCATTTAGCCTGTATAATTTTTTTCTTATAATTAATGGTATGTGTGGCTAATATTTCCAATTACATACACATACTACACGACCAAAGATTTTTGGTAATCCAACTATTCCAAGCTACCTGCAGTGTAAATTGATCGGTACCACGAGTAGTTGCTAGGTTGACACTGTATGGTTCTTATAAAGCTAAGCTAGTCTAACTATTGGTAATACATGTAGCTTGTCAACATGGATAGAGATTTTAACGCATGACTTACCTTCACATTATTTGAAGCAACAATGGTTTCAACAAGCACCACAAGAAGCAGAACTCCCAATTTGGTGACCGACATTTTAATAGTTTTCCTTTTCAGGGCTTCTGAAAAAAAAAAAAAAAAAAAAAAAAAAAAAAAAAAAATATATATATATATATATATATATATATATATATATATATATATATATATATATATATATATATATATATATATATATATAACCCATAGAACCTTGAATATTGTAGAATCTTGTCGGATCCGTTGTTTTGAAGGAGTTGTGTGTTTTTTAGATATAAGAATGTTTTAATGCGTTCAGTGATAGTCCCCTATCCGGATGTAAATCTTTTATATCTGCCAGTATTACAAAGTAAATTTACCCATTTCATC